TTTTATTAATATGTGGTCACTTTTTTTTAACAACAGCATTTTTTTATCAATTATCAGTACAAAATATTGCATTTTATCTTTTGGCGAAATTCGAGCATTGCCAATGTAAATAGGAATACATTTTAAATCGTAAAATGATCCAACTAAAATTAGTTGAATGTTTTTGTAATTTACAATTTTATTTCTTTTTTAAAGTTTTATGTTAAGCCATCTATAATTGATACATATACTTAGTCTACATCTTCCACAATTGTAGGTCTGTGTATTGTATTGGTTATTTGTAGTTATAAATAAACTAAGATATGGTTTATTGTTAAATAAATACTATTTTTTTCGGCAGAATTAAGGAATAAATTAATTATAATCACCGTTAGTCCATTTGAAATATCGAAATATTACATAATAAGTTCGCTTTCAGCCCCAGGCTTAAAATTAAAAACATAAAAAAACAGGAAAGAAATTATTAATGAGCGAAGGGGAAAAAATATAGCCTTCAGTTGCGAGGTCTTAAATTGCAATTTTTCATAGAAAGGGGGCAGAAACAATACCAGGGTTCGAAGAGACTAATTGACTTCACAATTAATTGGTTATTTAGGCAGCCTAAGATGGTAAGGGAATTGAATTAGGACTTTAATGCTCAAAGAGTTTTCCTATCAGGCTGAAACATGAGTGGGTCGATAAACATTTCCATTTAGGGGTCCCGTTTCCTGTAAAGTGGGTGTGTAGTGGCTGTAAAGAGCAGCAGTGTTTGCCAGCCTGTTGAATTTTCCTTGTTTGGCGGAAATTTACAAATCCGATTGGCACTTTATGTTAAATGAATAATAAATTGCCTAAAGACCAGAGGTTGAATAAGCATAATCTTTGTCATTATTGATGGTCAAGCTAGTTATGATTAATAATAACAGATGATCGGATGACCATTTTTGGACATGCAGAACTTCCATAATGAAGGTGATTGATACTTTTGTGGATTGAACTTGAAAAATATACGATCGGTTGAGAGTCATCATAGTTGACTCACCATGCACAACTTATAGCCAAGAAACAGTATGTTGTTAAAAAAAAATCATCTAAAATCTATTCATTATTTGCAATAGGGCAGTTTTTTTTTATTTTCATAATTTTAATAACAACTACTTTTCATTATTTTTTCATTGAAATTATTAACATTATTATTTTTTTCATTGAAATTACATTATATGTTGTTTACTTTTACCACTGGTACTACTCTTCCTCATACCTATTTTTTCAAACAATAGCAACAAGCCCGGTTATTTTTACTTTTAGGATATGTGCGGGTGAATATTTTAATAATAAAAATAATTTAAAAAAATATGTGTTATCAAAATTTCTATTTTACTTACATATACATAGATTGATATATTTAAGTGCAGTATTAGCTTCATCATAAAGTCGGAGGATTGGACAATTCTAATAAATTATACCGAACAGTTTTACGGAAAGGCTGATCATGGAGTACATGATATTTATCTGTCCATAGCAGCTAAGTGCTCGTATGCTCACAAGATCAAGTGTTTCCCGGTTCAATTTATCGAGAAGGATTGTAAGCCCCCTTTTTAAGTACCACCGATCCTTGTTGACTGACTTGTAAAAGTGTTATAAATTAATGAGTCGAGTGATCTCACAGTTGAGTTGACACAGCCGACTGTAATTTAATAGGCTCGCCAGAGCGCGCTGATTGCGTTACAATTTCCCTTGGAGACAATGATTCTCAAGGGAGGGCAGTCCTACCAATTAAACTATTATTTTTTTCCCTCTTCACTGGGGGAATTTCCCCTGAGCCTCAATTTCTGATCCGTATTCAATTTCGGTCAGCCAATTAATGTAGCAATTCCAACAACAGGACCTTTTTTTCCCCGGAAATCGAAAGCCCGTTATTGCTGACCGCCTTCAGAGGCCTTCCAAACCCCAAGTCCTTAGTTATGATGAGACTGTTTGCAAATCGTGGACCCGATGTTGGTAGAACTGTGTATAAACATTGGATTATTGGCGAGGACCGATGTAATGAACCCTCTGAACTTTCGCTTGGTTAAACTTTGGGGGTCGATATTTGTGCCACTGCCTCTCACACTTTGCGATGCCCATGGCCGATATAAACCCCAATCTCAAACGATGCTAATTCGGTTTCAATATAGTTCGAATGTCTAAATCCATAGATGTTCCGTATCTCAGTAATTAATGGTACATCTAAATCCTTTAACAATTTCGGAATGGATGCTTCAATTATTTGATTCAGAACAGCAGTTTAATAAGTTGTTTTCTTTTAGTCAAATATTTTAATGCATTTGTTAATTTCTCTAGGAAAACTGTATATTTCACATTAAGTTAACGTTTTTTAAATTATATATCATTCTTTCAATTTTTTGTGTTAATTTATATCACTCTGCTCCCACATCTATAGTTGCTTCTTTCGTCATCAGAATTGTACTTAATGAATAATCTGAAAAAGTTTATAACATATCATGGTACATTTCAAATCACACTGTTGATAAACTTTTCAAATAGTAAAATCAAACATCCTCAACAAATGAATTATATTTCACTCTGCATCTCCTCATATTCATCCTCAAATCACCTCAACATATTCTCTCTATTTCTTCCTCTATGTTACTTGCTCGACATAGATGACAAGTAAATGCTTCAGAGATCTGCTGATTCGTAAATAATAACTCAATCAAGGCAATTATCAAGAAAAATCACAGATACTAATCAATTACGTATAATTGACTAAATACGCAACTGCACAGTTCCAAATGGAGTAAAATAATAAAATAAATGCATAAGTTAAATATGTGAACTTGTTATTTGTTCTTTTCATAGCTGTTAGCTAGATGATACCTACTTTTCATAGTCTATATATCACCTACTATACCATTTTTACTATCCTGTACTCCGATATTTGAAACAGGAATGGATGGCAGAGATGGTAGAACACTATTTGACCATAACGCGAATGAAGAGCTAACAAAGCGTTAACTGTAGCCCAGGGTTGGAGGATTGGATAGGGGCAGGTTGGAACGGATAAATCGAATTCCCTATCGATTTAATTCCGACGACTAAGGAATAGTCTTCGTCTATCTCTTAATGCCTGAAGTCTCCTGTTTCGTATCTATTTAAGGAGAGCAAATAACATTCTATTCCGATGTTAATTTTTTTTTCTTTAAAACCATTAACTTTTCTGGAATAAACTATTGTTTGGGGCAATGCTCCTTATTGGATGCGAAAAAATCCCAAATAAATTCTGACCGGAATACGTATCGAAGAATAAATATAGACAAGATTATTCGATTAAATAAGAGATAATCATATTCATCAAGAAATATATAATTAAAGTGAATTTTCAAGATAGAATAATTCAAAAGGAAACCATCCCGTTTATTCTTTAGTACCATCTAACCGCCAAATCTCCCTGAAATTATTTGATGAACAATGAAAAATGGTTCAAAACAATAGAAGTCCTCGATCAGGCCAGTCGACAGAAAGTTTAAATTATTTCTATAAAGTTTTGTAATTTTACGTAATAATATTTAATCACAATTTTATCACATATTCATCGGAATCGTATTTGTATGTTGTTAAAACTGCCATGACACGCAAATATAACAAACAGAAAACGCAAAGAAAAACGAAATTAATCAAAAGTCAAAGCAGCACATCTGCACATTAAGGCAGATCGTTTGTTACCGCAAAAATTACTCAACCAACCTTCGCAAAATTTAAAATTTATCATCCCCCCGGAATTTTAATTGATTTCAATATTACTTTTTTTAATGCCACCTTTCCTCGAATATATTTGTCAATCATCATAATGAAAATGGTGGTACAAACTTTTAAGCATATTGATCTTGAGTTAAATAAGATCTGCCTTATCAAAATCACAGCTAATTTATATTTATTTATAATATACCAAAATTAATTATAAATGATTTGCAAATAAATCATACTATTACTATGTATTTAATTAGTAAATTAAGCACTCTTGCTCAATCTCCACTGGGTTTAGTTGAGAGAGAAGTGCAGGGATCTCCTGGAGTCATGCTTTTCCCTCCACAGTTGGGTTTGGTTTGGAGTTCTCTCGCCAGATTGTAAATATTGTATATAGGTATGTATGTGTTCTTTTTATTCATTTATTTTTAGGTTATTTTATTTTTATTTGTTGTATATATATTATTTCCCTGTATGATTTATTTTATTTACTGTACATAGAGTGTGTATGTGATCTGTGAACACTATTATAAATGTCTTTGAGACAGATTGTAATATTTTTCAATAAATAAGCTTAAAAAAAAAAAATTAGTAAATTAAGTAAGCGAAAACATAAGAACCACATACAAAATTATCTGTAAAGTAGGTAAGTAAACATAAACATTTCAAAGGGTAAAATAATTGTCTTCAAAAAGACAATAAATTGGCCCAACATAAAAAATTAGAAATTGAGAACCTTTCATATTATGGGGTTTCGTGTATTATTATGTATTGTAGTATCAAAATCATATCTCCGAATTTACCAAGAGACTTCGACAAATTTTTTAATTTGAATTGAAATGATTTATAAATAAACTGATATGCCGTGTCTCATATAGGATAGCTTAATTCTATATTTTTGCAAGCATTAATCCAACACACCATTGCTTACTTCAACTCCGTTATCTGGTTACAAGGCAATGATGTGACATCGGAATCACTTGGAATACAAAGGAGATGAGATTACTTGGAGAGCCTATAGCGTAATCAGTATTCAGAATGCGGTTTCTGAGTTACGCTTAAACCGCCGGAGTTTGACGATTTATTCATGGAATAGAATAAAAATTACAAATAACGCCGTGGTTCAGACGGTTTTAACATTATACCGAAAGCTATTTTTCAGCAAATCATGCATACAAAGGTCATATGTTTCTGAAATTATGATTATTTTCCGCTTAGTAAATCTAAATTACTCGAGAATAAGAACGGGCCACTTGAATTGGTCACGCGACGAGATGGCCAGGGATAAAGCCTCAATTGACATGACATGCAGCGATCAACTGAATGTAACAACTAGGTATAAGCTTTAGATTACGCCTCATGTGACGATGACATAAGTATTCATATCAAATATATGTTTAATATAAACGCTTGCAATCAGTTGAACTTCATTCCAATATCTATAGATAAACCAAGTTAAACTGAATATTCGACAAGATTAAAAATTCTATTGGATAAAGCTCAGAAAATTAAACATTTCAAATACAATATAATCTAGCTTTCAATTCCAACAATATAATTAATTCATACTAGTACCATCGGTAAAACTCGCTACCATGCAAAACATGGTATAAATCTTTCCATTTAACATAGAATCCACATATAATACTCGAACATCAAAAGGATTGTAAATTCTAATTACTACAATATTTACTTGACAAACATTCTAAACTTCTAATAGATTACAAATATATTTCATATATTGACATTAATGGTCTTATTTTAGTTAAATACTCATTCAATGTGTCCTGATTGATTAATTAAAATGACCCAAAACCAATTCACTGCATGCAATATCGTATGCATGAACTTTGCTTCATATAAATACACGAGTTAAATGTTACCCAATTAGTGACTTTTTCTTCTCATGAAACTGCAATAACGTCTATTACGGATGAGAACACTTTCTTTGTTCCTTATATTAAGGTTTCTTGTTAGTGAAGCAGGTTTATGATTCGTGAAACATTAATAATATCACGTTATAACAAGTACCCCTACCTCAACTTCTTAACTTCGAAATTACCACGTTTCTAACTAATACTGGCAATTATAATTTTTAAATTTGATTAAATAAAAAAGACGTAGACATGTTACGTTCACTTTATTTTTATGTTTTGTTCACTTAAGCTGACAAGTCCCAGCCTTTCATCTGTGCGCAGACTGATCTACGGAAAGGGGGGGGAATATATTAATGTACTATGGTTCATATAATTAATAGGACTTTAATCAAAAGAAACACTTCGCATTTCAAAAAAAAAAAAAGAAGCTTTCGAGCTGAAGTCTTCTTAAAATTGAATCCTGAATCCGCTAGGGCATCTGTGCAATAAAAATGTTTACAATTATTTTGTGATTTATTTTTTTAATCAGTAAATACTACCAAGCTATTTAAAATAGAAAATAAGCAATTAAGTATTAATTGTTATTAATTGTAAGTGATAATTGTTGTTAGTTGTTGTTGTTGTTGTTGTTGTAAAATATGGTAATAATAATATAACTAAAAATCAAAACGTCATGGTGGAATAAAATCCACAAAGTCCGAAAAGCAAACAGAAAAAAAAATTGTCATTAGGGTTCATATAAAACTCATACTAAGATTAACGTACATTGCTTCATTTATTATACCATTTGTATGTTTTAAGGCTATCAAAATGAGGTTTAACATTAGAATTTTAGCTATCAAATTGATTAAAAATTTTAATTTTTATTAATTTAGATTTATTTTTTTTTTAGAATATTTTATAAGAATTTCATTGGTTGTATAAAGTATTATACTCTTGCTTCGGAGAATTTTTTCGCAGAAAAAAAATTGAAACTCCAACAGTGAAGAGTGAGGAAAGAAGTCAAACAGAAATAGCCGAGATTCACTCGTTAGAGGACATTCCGCTCGAGAGGGCTGCTTTGGCCCCTCAACAATGGACCACCGCCGCACTCAACTTCTTTCCTTTCAGATTTCTTGAGTAGTTCAAGGTAGTCCTGATCGTGGTGAGGTCAGAGCAATGCCTTGTGGCCGCTATAATGCAGGAGCGAATCGTGCATCGTATGAATGAATTATCATTTTTGAATAATTCATTGCCACAATAAATAGTACCAAACTTATAACGATTTTTTGTCCTTAGGACTTGTTTCTGTAAAACTATAAGATAAATATCCTTATAAAGAACCAGAACTGTTGAAGATTTATTTGAAAATTTGATACTGTTTTCAGAACGTATAAAGAATTTAATATAATGAAATGTATTTAACAAACAGGGAATTAATAGGAATAAACCTTGGTATGATAATGAAGGTTGAAATATTGTTTCTCTATATTTAAAAAAAATAATTTTAGGGGTGAATTCTAATTTAATTTTCTAAATCTGAAAAAGCAATATAAAAATATTGTGAAAATGCAAAAAAATTGAAAACAATTGAAACTCTCGGAACAACAAACTATTTGGAGTACCATAAAACGATCTAAGGGTAGCACCATTTCCAGACCGAGCATTTCCATAAAGGAGTGGAAGAAGTTTTAAAAAATGATGTATCTAACTGGGTTGACATCTGATAACTTTTTTTATCGACAGTCGACATCCTTTATTAGATGGAGATATGACTGCTGAAGAAATTAGTAGATCTCTAATCAAACTTAAAAATGGCAAAAAAAACGGGATTGATGGTGTTCCATATGAAATATATAACAATCTTCTCTCAAATTGGTTCAATATATACAGAATTTATGTAATAAAATTCTGAATGAAGATGAGGTCACTGAATCATGGGCTTAAATTTTGCGTGGGGTAATGTTTAAGAAACCATACCAATTAAGTTGAAGTTATCCCAAATTGATCTACATGGGTGTCAATACTCAATTTAAAGCAAGTAAGATAAATTTAGAATTATTGTTAGCACTTATGAAAATTTTTATTACTTGTACCATGTACTTTATGTTCAAGAAGTATTAAAAGCTTTGAAAAAAAAAATCTCCTCAAGATAAGCAGAGTGATCTATCAGAGTACTAACGCATGAAGCATTGCATACAGAAACTGGTGTGTCAATATCTTATGATATGAAGGCATACAGACAATGCTACTGTGCACAACAATGAATCCATCAGTCGCAGACAAAGGACCATGTGAAAGGTCAAAAACCAAATAGTCCGAATCAACAAATATGATGTAGAGCTGTAGGCAATAGTGCTATGTTCCTGGCCTCGAGTTTCTACGGCGAGTAGGGGATTCCAGGAACCGCATTTATTTGTATTTAATACTTATATATTTGTATTTATACCGGTCCCAGAAGGGAACCGATCAACTTAAAAATATATTAATGATGCATTTAAATGTTAGATACCACAGACCCCCTACTGTAGTATCCTAGATTGAACCATATGATTTTTATTGAATTTCCTTTCTGAAGGTATCATGTTTTTAAATTTAATAGTTGTTTCTATTACTACTTGGTGGCATGCAAGGTTGAATGTAAAATTAACAAGATGGTTGATTAATTACTATATTTATCAACTTTAAAAACCAAAACATCTATATACAAAATAATAACTAAACCTATATACATAATGAGTTTGTATATACATAGTTGAGAATCATACTAGAGGAGAATGCTTGATGTTTGATTAGAGTTACATGTGTTCTATTGATTCTATTAATTAACGATTTATGGTTGCAACACAAGTTTACATCATTATTACTAAATGAGGGTTATTACCTAGCTGGTTCATCTTCATCTTCGAGTCTTCTTCCATGTTGCTCTCCTCAGCCTCCACCTTCCTCCCAGTGTTCAACCGTCTTCGCTTGACGCCCAGCTTGAAATCCTCAAGCCTGAGTCCCAGCTATCAGTCCATCTCTTGCTCTCTCCGCCTCTCCTGATCAAGTGCTTCTCAAAACTCTAACCGTCCTAGCTTCCATTCACCCCCCTCTCTTTTTGTAGTTTTTCCTGATTGGCTGAATATTCCTATCCTAAGGGATGACCACGCCCTCTCCCCCAGGCCAAGGTATTCCACTAACCAGGTATCTTACGTATTGCTGGTGGAAGGTGTGAAAGGTCTTTCTAGATCCTGTTTAAACACTCAGTTGTCGGTCTTGGTCGGTGGTTCTTAAGGGTTTTTATTACCACTTATAAAAGGTTGGGCTCGTGGGTCGTTGCCCTAGCTCAGGTACCGCCAGATGTGAGCACTTATGATATTTATTTATTTAGACCTTTAAAATAATTAAATGAGTTCCACCGGCGGTCTTTAGAATACTTTAGAATAGCAATAGACCAAGATAAGCAGGGCTTGGTTGGATTTGGAAATAGATAGATAGATTTGGAGTAGTCTGGTCAAGGCGTAATAAGATCTACAAAGTCTAAAAAGCCAACAGAAAAAATCATATTGTAATTAGGGTACATATATTTTGAAACAAAGCAGAGATAACTCATACCGAGTCATGTACTTGAATAATAAACATCTTGAATATAATCTTTGTTATAGAGTAAAAGAAATCAGAAAAAGCCCAAAATTCCATGATATTTCGTAATTCGTTTGTTAAAATATAAAAAAAAAAAAAAAGTAAAAACCTTACATTAGACAGAGATTGTGTAATAGGAATATATTTTCCTAACAAGCAAATCTAAAAGCGCTCCTCATAATAAAATAATAATCTTCTCAATTTGACTAAAAAAAAAATCATTGTCAGGGCCATTATTTTTCCAATGATTTAATCAAATAATTATGTAATGTAGAATAATTCCTAATATTCAGTATCAAGAGCCTTTAATAGATCGAAGTTCAATGGAGATACGAGTCGACCCATCCAGGCTCTCCAGAGATTAAACATTCTGCTGATCTAATTTCCCTATTAATCAGATTCAGAGCAAAGTAAGACTTTGAGATGCTGCATATATGCCACTATTGATAAATAGGAAATAGACATTATTAGATCAAAGCAGTAAGGATAATCCTATGAAAAACAGGATGAATTTCAATGTTATTCATGTTCTATGCATTTACAAATTGTAATAATTATTTGGTTAAAATATTTTGTAAGAACGCCTTAAATATTTTTAAAATAGTAGCTGGAAACATAGGAAAATTCCCATAGTGATTCTTGATAGAAATAAGATAAGCGTGTAAGATTTTACGGTCAACATATTTAAATTATAAAAACAATTTTTAAAAAATCCTTGATATGATGTTCCAATCCACGATTTATTCCAAATATGAATTAACTTAAATGTAGTGTGAGATTTTGATGATGAGTCTATGCCCATACCTTAGGATGTAGGAATGGCGTAGAATAGTCCGTAGTGCCTTCTTACTCTACTTTATTTCCAACAAGTGAGTCCCAGCGGAGGAGGATAATAACAAAATAAAACGAGAGGAAGGAGGATGGTTAAAAGCTTTTCTCTCAACCTGCCTCATACGGTATTCATACCTAGGGAGTTGGGCCCCGGCGAATGCCCCTAACAATGAAAACTTATCGATTCTCTCTACTTCGACACCTCCTGCTAGCAATTCAAACATTGATGTCATTTGGAACATCAAATATTGATGTGGTGTAGAATTTTTTTTTTTTTTTTCAATTCTTCATTGAGAAATATTACATTCTTTCACATTCACGGACACTAGGGATAGTGATAGAGTACCTCATTCACACTCTATGTACAATAAATTAAACAGCAAAATAGTAATACTAAAAGTAAAAGTTTATAAACAGAAATAAACTAGACTAATCGAACAAAAAAAAAAGAAAACTAAAATAACATAAATATACATATATAGTGATAATTAATTATTCAAGTAGGAAATTAGTAAATTGCACAGAAAATATATTAACATTGAGCCTTGACATCATTTCATATCAAGAGCAACAAGATGACGACAAAAGTCCTTAAACCAGCATGACATTACAATCTTGAAATTTTTATTAGATAATAGAGTGAAATAGTTGATGAAATTAAATATTTACGTAAATAGTCAATGTTTATGTTTTTTTTATTTAAAAAAAGATAACAAAAACATTTAACCAATTTCTTTTCATCTACTCAGAAATACTGGAAAATAGTGAATATGCTATCAGAAAGAAAATAGTCCCAGTGATGCCAGCGGCATCCTTTCCTATCTTGATTTTAGAATACATTTTTAAGCGAGGAGATCTCTCCTCCAGCTTCTTTTAAGCCTCATAAGTTTGTTAATTGTAGCCACATCTTGTATGAGAGTGTTTGTAAATCCGAGCAGGTTGTCGTAAAATCCGTATGCGACGAGTATCCGTAACTGTTGCCATGTGAAGGAGGCAGACAAATGTTTAGTTTACGTATATAATCAAATTTGAAATTAATAACCTTGAAAATATAAAATACATGATTTTTTTTTCTGACAGGTGTCTAAAATTGTCGACACGTTTCAGTTAATAAATGCACTGAGACTGAAAATCTCAACTAATGACCAGTTCTTTATCAATTTCAGAATTTTTGTTTATACTCAATATCAACAAAAATATATAATAATAATTATCATATGTTTCAATTATTGTTTTATAAATAACAATATAGTTTCCGAACAAGCAAATCTAAAAGCGCTCCTCAATAAATAATAATCTTCTCAAATTGACTAAAAATAATATATATCATTTTTAGGGCCATTATTTTTTCCTACGATTAAATCAAATAATTATTTAAAGTAGAACAATTCCCAACATTCATTATCAAGAGCCTTTAATAGATCGAAGTTCAATGGAGACAGGAATCGACCCATCCAGGCTCTCGAGGGACTTGATAGGCCGAGGAAGTTAGGAGTGACAGTAAACAATGTCGGCAAGATAACTTAATATACGTCAGGAGGAATGAGCGAATCAAATCCCAAGTCCTGTGGGATGAGTTTGCTCGGCGCAAGCCAATAGGGAAACCGTTTAATACCCACTTCCCAGCCAACTTCATTTGCTCTATTCAAAATGAGTCTGCGTCTGAAAGGGTTCTATAACTTTTAGGGG